GGCCTCAACCATCCCGAGGGAGGCCCAGCCACAACTTCCTTGGGCAACCTGGAAGTGTTCCAGTGTTGGAACTGGGCAACCTGAAGAAGTTCCAGTGTCTGACCACCCTTACGGGTCTCTCCAATCCAACTGTAAGAGAGACTATTTCTTCCTGTTTGTGCTCCTTATTTCATTAGCTGTTGGAGTTTCTTATAAAAAATTGCTAAAATCAGTTTGAAGTGTTTTTCATTCTCTCCAATCGAACTGTAAGAGAGATTATTTCTTCCTGTTTGTGCTCCTATATTTTATTAGCTGTAATAAAAGTATAAAGATATTGTTTTCAATTTCATGTATATTTTGTTTCAAATAGACTGGAACATTATCGAATACTTTTCTATAAAGTTACTTGTGTAACTTAAAGCTGAAAATATCTGTTTGCACACAAACTCAGCAAAAGGTAGATGCTGTGAAAATAGAGCTTTGAGGTTTTATACACTCATCAAAACCAGCCAGCTCCCTCTGCAGAAAAAGAGACTATTAATCTCTTGCATATGTAATTTTGCTATAATATTTACTGTAATATAATTACATATTTTTCATTTTACATCTAATTAATATAATTACATATTTTCTTACAGAAATTTATAGCAGTATCACCTATTAAACTTCAGTATAGTAGAAAAAAACAGCTCAGCATAAATGGCAAAGGAGAAGAAAAACAGATGGGTATATTCATTAATTTAAGAATATGCATGTGCAGTTTACAGGAAATGCTCACAGAAATTTTCAACCTATCTCTTGGGCAGATGATAGAAATATGAATTTAGTTTCCACCCCAGGAAACAGGCTGTTACACAAATGGAAGGGAAAATAAGGGCACTTGTAATGGAAAACATTTCAAAGGTCTGTTTCAGATCACAAAACATCCTAGATCATATTAAAATTTTATCCTGGGATTCCAAAAAAACCCAAAACAAACCAAACCCCACATTTTTGCTCACCTGGTGCACTCCATATCCTCAGGCCAAGAGACCCCAAACATCTCCATGAGTTTGGAGCACTCGCTGTAGGCTCTTTGACAGAGTCTGCGACACGGGAGAGTGACGCGGCCGTACTCCATGCACACGGGAGCGTAGAGGGCGCACAGGAAGGGGCGGAAATCTCGGGAGCATTCCAAATTCACCATGGGATGAAACGGCTGGAAAAGGGAAAAGGAGAATTCAATAGCTACAAACAGCAGTTTTGTAGAACCCTTCAGCAGTTTTAGCTGTGATTTGTCTCATGAGATGTTAAGGGTTTCAGAACTGTTACCACGATTTTCTTCTTCTGGACTTTGTCTGTTGGAAGAACTAATCATCATAACGCAGCGCGAGGCAAACAGGCAAGCAAGAAGGCTGAGGACAATGACAAAGATTCACAAGGGACATTTATATACATGGTTGACATTAAAATCAATGGGAATTAGACAGATAAATGCCTCTGAGGATTCAGGCTTAGCCTCAGTCTTCAATAACAGTCGTATCAACTCGATTCAGTTAATGACAGAACAAGGGGAAATGGGTTTGAACTGAAAGAGGGGAGGTTTAGATGAGATATTAGGAAGAAGTTCTTCACTGTGAGGGTGGTGAGAAGGGAAGGTTTAGATTAGAAAGAAAGAAGGGAGGTTTAGATGAGATATTAGGAAGAAGTTCTTCACTGTGAGGGTGGT